GACATGAAAGCGTATCACTTGCAATAGTCGTGTTACTGCGGAGGGGTGGAGTGTTACGGTAGGTAGATGACTGAGCGCCTGGCTGCCAGCAGATTACTAGAGCTTTGTAGGAACAGTGACACTGAGCTGGGTCTTTCTGTAGAAGTTGGCCGAGTAAAGGGAAGGTAAGAAAGCTATTTTATTTTTAAATATGTCTTTATTGATTTTAGAGAGAGGAGGGGAGAGGGGGAGAGAGAGAGAAATGTCAGTGATGAGGATCATTGAGCAGCTGCCTCCTGCATGCCCCTCACTGGGGATCGAGCCCGGAACCGGGCATGTGACCTGACCGGGATTCGAACTGAGATCTCCTGGATCACAGGTCGATGTGCAGCCGCTAGCCACACCGGCAGAGCAAGAAAGATATTTTAGATGGTAGATAACAGGTGTGCAGGTTTGTAGGGTGGATGGTAAGAAGTGTCAAATAAGGGCGGAGAGATGATTTGCAACCAGAGTATGAAGTGTCCTGTATGTCAGTCCAGTATTTAGATTTTATCTAGGAAGTAATAGGAAAATCAGTATAATATTCTAAAGCGGGGCAGTGGTGGGACCAGCTTTATGTTAGGAAGCAAAAGGCATGATTTCCACCCCTGTATGTCATTGGAATGTCAGAGTGTTGAAAATCAAATACTTTGTTATGCAAGGTATTGTGTTGAGCATTGTAAAGAGTCAAAAGATATTCAGTGGATTCTCAGTCCTTAAATAGCTTACAGTTCTGTTGGACGGACATGGGTGACTAACAATATTAGGCACTGAGTAAACACCACATAAAGGCTGCCACTCTGTAGTACAGGAGTTGAAAGGCGTACACTGAAGTAGTCAAGGAAGGTGTATTAGTTTGCTAGGGCTACCATGGCAAAGTACCACACACCAGATGGCTTACACAACAGAAATGTATTTTCTCTCAGTTCTGGAGCCTGGGAGACCAAAATTAAGGTATAGGCAGGGTTGATTTCTCCTGAGCCTCTCGTTTGCATGTAGATGGCCGTCTTCTCTCTGTCTTCACATCATCGAACCTCTGTTATGAGTATACCAGTCAGATTGGAGTAGGGCCCAAAGACCTCATTTTAATTTAATTACCCTTTAAAGACCATGTCCCCAATAACACATTTTGAGGTACTAGGGGTTAGAACTTAAGCGTATGAATGGGGGCGGGGAGGGGGCACAGTCCAGCCCATGACAGAGGCTTAATTAGAACTTGAGTTGAGCTTTGAAAGATTACTGTTGAGCTGAGTGGAGTGCTGGGGAGGGGTTAGAGGGGTGGGACGTTACAGATTGGGTGATAGAAGCAGCAACGTGTGCAGGTTGTGTCTTAGAGATGAGGTGTCTGAAGCAGGAAGTTACCACCAGGATAACTAAGGGGAAGAAAATCCAAAGAGTGGTTTGAAACCAAATTTCCAGAACCTTGGAGTACTCATTTTATAAATGTTGCATTTTAGCCTAATGAAGAACCATTGTTTTTGTTATTTTGTTTTTAAAGAGAGTCAAGCCTGGCTCTCTTCACTCAGTTCTTAAGTCTCAGCTGAAATGTCACATCAAGGCATTTCCTGAGCATCCTCTCCAAACCGCTAGCTACTCCACTCAGTCAAAGCACCCTATTTCTTTCCGTTATAACACTTAGCACAATTTGAACGCATCTTTTTTATTTGTTGCCCTGTCTATCGTCTGATTTACTTCACTAAAAAGTGGAGGCCTTGTCTATTTTGTGCACCCCTGGATTTCAGGTATATCTTATCATGCCTTCTTGCACATCTAATAGGAGCTCAGTTAAGTTGAATTAATAATAGTAATACTTAATGTTGACACCCGATGAATGATCAAAGCTTTGTTTTAGAAAGCTCAGCTGAGCAGCAGTGTATCGAATTTGGGAGGTATGACGGGAAGAATGAATACCACTTAGAAATATGTTAGGATCATTTAATAACAAGAACAGGAAAAAAGTTGATTAGGTTGAATAGGAAAAGGAATTTATTATAAAGATACAGGGTTGCTCTTGAGGTTTAAGGAAAAGCTAAGGAATTGGACTGGGAGAGATTAAAAACTGTGATATATAACTGCAGGAATGTGTGTAGCCGGGCACTGGCAGGCTGTACTCCCAGGCCACTGCTGAGATAAATCAGCTCCAATCATTTACAGCCTTTGTTGTCATTCTCAGGCCCCCGTTTCAGAGAGAAAGTTTCTAATCAGCTTGGCTTTGGTTGTATACCTACCCCTGAGCAAGGGAGGGCAGGCGTCAGCCTGTGCTTAGGGGGAGAAGGATAGTTCTTCCAAAGCCAAATCAAGGGCCTCCTGTAGCAGCAGGACGGAGGAGGAGTGGCTGTCGGGCGGCCAGGACCAGAGAGGCTCGTCTCACCCTAAACTGAGCTACAGTAGAGCCATTCAGCTGGAGGTGCCGAGAACACACCTTTAACCAAAACCAGACCTTCTCTAGAGACTGAAAATGTGGTGAGATGGAATTCAAGGCAGTGAGTGACATTACTCTCTTGAAGGATCAGATAAGCGAGGCTGGCTTTGAAATCTGAGGAGCTTCAGATAATTTCTGCATCTACGTTGACCTGGAGTGAGTGATGATAAGGCCTGAACTCGGAGCCGGCTTCCTGTCCCCATCTAATAGTAAAATCAAATGGAGAGAGTCAGAGCTAAATCCTGAGGTGAGGGTTTGGGGCGGAATAGTGTGTGTGTGTTTATATTTCAAAGTCAAATGTAGGTGCAGTTTCACTGTGTGTTTACTTTTTGTTACATTCATTTCTTCTCTTTATCCCAGTGCCAGTTTAGGACTACATAAGCAGTCCCCAGCATTCCAAAGGATTCTGTGCCCTGTGTTCAATTTTAGGTTAATACTTTAAATGTAAAGAGACATTTCCCTATAGAACTGGTAGTAAGAGTTTTGTGTGCTAGTCTTGCAGCTGATTTGATTTTTAATGTACTTTAGCTCTAATGCCAGCCTGAGTTTTCATCTCCAAAACTAGAAAGTTGGTGAGGTTATTTTGGTCCCTTCCCATCTTCCTTTCTGAGCCCCTTACTCATCTCCAAGTTTTTTTTTATCCAAGTGCTTACTGTGCTTGGCCTTTTTCTGTTTCTATCCCCAGAATGCTGTGTGTTCTAAAGTGGCCTGCCTTCCACTTATGCCCTTAAAAATCCTAACTCCTGCCCGGCCGGGCCTGGCTCAGCGGTTGAGTGTCGTCGATCCTAGGCAATCGGGGTTCGATTCCCCGTCAGGGCACATGCCCGGGTTGTGGGCTTGACCAATGACTCTCTCATAATTGATGTTTCTTTCTATCTCTCTCTCTCCCTCTCCTTTCCTCTCTCTGAAATCAATAAAGATATATTTAAAAAAAAAAAAAATCCTAACTCCTTGCAACTGATCTAAATTTGGTATAAAGAGGAAATTATTTGCGCTGAATTAAATTATATTAAAATATGAATTCCCCGCTCCTCTTAGCATTTAGTGCCTGAGGAATTTGAGGTCACGGTATGAATTCATTTTCTGGAATCCAGTTGTGAAGGACTTTGGACCAGGGGAAGACTTCAGGAGTTTTGAAGCCCTGTTAGGATCAGATGAGTGTTTCTGAAAAGTATCTGCGGTAGAAATATGAAGAATGAAACCTGCAGTGTTACTGTGATAGTCAAGTGAGCTACGAGTCCCACCTTGCTGATGTCCCCCTGTCCACTCATCCACACACACACACCCTGGCCCAGTTAACTGTTTCCTGAAATCATTATTACCATATACTTCTTGTATCCTTCATCACGCATGTCTGTCTTGCCATGGCTACCAGAGAACAGGCAGCCAGCCAGCTCATTCATCTGCCATCAGCAGCACCTCTTGTGATACGTGGCGTATAGCAGGCCCACATAACCATTCAGGAAAGGAAGGAAGTAAACTGTGCTTGCCATATAGGAAACACTATATGTATTAGGAACTTTCAAACATACTGTGTCTTTTGTTCATCATGAAAATCCTTTGTGATGGGTAGTGTTAGCCCCGCTCCTCAGGTTAAGGAAACCACTAGGACTCAGAAAGGTCGAGTGATCTTTGTAAGGTTACATATCTAACAGGTGGCAAAGCCAGGGTTTGAGGCAGGTACACTGATTTGAAAGTCTTTCCATGAATTGTTAACTGTAAAGACACTCTCATTTTGAAATTTCAGGAAACAGCATGAAATAGAAACAATTCAGGCAGAGTTTGGGAAGATACTTGTGTGCGGGGATCCAAGTGGTAAGCAAGCCAGCCCTGCTTCAGAATTTGGTTTTCCTGGGGGATTTCCTCCCAGCTTTTCTGACACTTATAAAGGGGACTTTTCTTTACATTTCACCCAGTTTTCTCTTAAGAGTGGAGGTTTTTCCACCATGACTAACATGGTATACCTGCACCGATGAGTCACGTAGAGACCAGCGAAGGAAAAGGTACAGGACATGGATGCAGTGGCAATGTGTTGTGTACGTAAGAGCTTTTAAACTTATGATGCACTGTCTTCTATAAGTCAGAGGCTGATTATTCATAATTAAAACATACATGAGAAATTAGTTTGATGAGCCAGCAGATTTATGGGAGAGAGTGCATCCGGTAACAAAGCCAGCCTTGTCTGAGGGCAGAAGAACAGAAAAGGCAGCAGGTTTTGATAATTCAGTCGGCACATCCACCAGCCACAAAGGTTGTTTTGCTGGATCATCTCGTGGTATTTAGCAGTTATGGGTTTTTTTCCCCTTTCTGCCTTCATTCTTAATGTAGCATTTTATATTTTTAGTTGTTAAACTCCATAAATACACGTACTGTCATTGAAACACAAAAGTTTAAAGTGTTATTTGTTTGCAGCTCTACCGGGAAAGGGGCCATTGTTTTTAAGTTTTAGTAATTGAATTAAAAGTTAAAAGCAAGGGCCTCAACCTGAAGGTGAGGGGTCTGCCCTGCACTGTTGCTCCAGACATCTAGACCCTTTGTGCTGGGTACTGGAAAGGTGGGAGAAGTCATGCTCCTCTTACAGTCCTCTAGTGTAGTCCCCAGGGCCCTCAGGCCTCCATCCCCCCTCCAGCCTCAGTGCCTGCCTTCCCCTCCATGTATCCTTTGCTCCAGCCAGGCACCGTCTTGTCTCTGTGATGCTGGGCACACTGCTCCTGTCCTTGAAATGCCCTTCACCCTTCCTGACTCCTCCCATGTTCTTAACTTCTGCTTGTTCATAAGGCCTCTTACCCTGAATGTCTTCCCTGTTTCCCTCTCACCTGGATCAGTGCCATCACTTATTTTCCCTCTGTACTTCTGTACATACCCATCTGGTGCTTAGCATATTGGAGCGTGGTGACAGATTGGCTTGTCCTGTTCCCACGCAAGATTTCAAGCACCGTAAGGCAGGACCATGCCTGTCAGATTGGTATCTTCCACGTCTAGCCAGTTCTGGCACATGCTAGACGGGTGCCCAGCTATGAGAAGCATGTAACATGATGACTAAGAGTCCGGGCTCAGGCCACACTCCATACCCACTACTAACTGACTGGGTGACATTGAGCACATAACCTGACCTCTCAGTGCTTTTGTTTCCTAATTTGTGAAACAGACATGATGATAGCACCCAGCTCAGGTGTTTCTGTGAGAAGAGAGGAAACTAGAGGCTGGTAATATTGGGGTTGAGAGAGTGGCCTCTGAAGCCAGTCACCTGGTGTGAGTCCTGTTCTGCTGCTTACTGTCTATGTGACCTTGAGCGTGTTACTTATTCCTGCATGCCTTTGTTTCCTCATCTGTAAAATGGGGACAATTATAGTACCTACAGCCTAAGGTTTGTGTAAATACTGAGTTAATGAATGAAAATGTTTATAGTAGCATGTGGCCTTAAATGTTCAATTAGTGTTTGAGGGAATAGACTATAGAGTTGTTTATCAGGTATATCAGGAATTGGGACATGCTTAGCTAGTTCTTGGGCAAGGAGTCTCATTGATGACTCTAAGTGGAAGTTACAGTCAAATGAATACTTTTAATTCCCAAATAATTTTCAGTGACAGTAACTGTTTCTCTTAAACTCAACTCTGAGTGACTTATTGTTCCCTGATTTCCAGATGTTTTTGTTCAAAGATTGTAGAAGCCTGTGGTTCAGGGGATTGGAAGAGAAAATAGGGATGATAATTTGAAGAAAGCAAAAGGAGGAAGCTTTTCTAAACAATGAAAAATGAGAAAACGTTGACCTTTGGCAGTAGGAATAGAGTGTAGGTGCTGTGTGGAATAGCATCTGCTCACGCTCAGGGACAGAATCTCACTCGGTGTTATCTTCACACAGTTCTTCAGCCTCTACCTATAGTTTCAGGTTCCTTTGGGGTCTTATGGATTCCCCCAAAGGCAGACCCTGAGGCAAGGGTTCCGATGCAGATGTTTATTTGGGAAGTGATCCCAGGAAGCACAAGAAAGGTTGTAGGGAAAGTGAAGCAGGGAAAGGTGCCCGTAAAGGGTACATTAATGAATAGGTATCTGCTAGCGTTTAAAATATCAAAGCTGAATTCCTGAAAAAAATCTGAACCGATTTTTCTATCAAATTTTATCTCAAGTAATGGCATCCTTCCGGCTGTCCTGGTAGAGCTCTTGGAGACACCCTTATCTGCTCACCTTATCCTCTACAGTCAGTCCGTCAGAAATCCTAATGACTGCTTCAGTCTCCACTGCTGCTGCCCTGGTCCAGGCGCCATTGTGTCTCACCTGCATCACTGAGGTAGACTCCTAACTGGTCCAGTCTGCCATCGTGTCTCCCCTGGATCTTTGCATTAGAGCCCTAGCCCATCCAGACACCATAGTGTCTTGTGGATCATTGCAGTAGATTCCTAGCTGGTCCAGGCCACCATCGTGTCTCACCTGTTTCATTGCAGCACAATCCTAGCTGGCCCCCCAGCTTCCACCCTTTCCCTATTTTCCATGGTCCAGATACTTTTAAACATAATTCCTCTGCACAGAATCTTCCCATGGCTGCCCAGTTACTCCTGGTAAGAAGCACGGTTATCAACGCGTCCACCCAGCCCTGCACAGCCTCTCCTCGTGTCATCCTCCATGGCTTCCTCGGCTGTGCTCCGGCCCTGCTGTTACCTTGGCTCTCCCCTCTGCCTGTAACGCTCTTCCTCAGTGATCATCCTCATGGCTCATCCTTGCCTTCTTCGGGCCTTCTCAGATGCCATTTTATTGAATGAGTAAGTGGTAACAATGACTGTTTTCTCATTTAATCCTCACAAGAGCATCGTTGAGGCTCAGAAAGGTTGATTAGCCTAGAGCACTGACTTTCACCCTGCCTTGACTCTGACCCACAGGAAGGAGTGTATTGTACATCCCAACCCAGTACTTGCTTACATGTGTGGATGTGTGCACAGAAGTGAAACGAGCCCCACAAGGTCGTAGTTAGCCTTGCTACAGTTGAGACGTTCTGGCGTTTTCCCTCTGCCCTAGTCATTTTTTTATTACCAGTTTCATACCACTAAATTGATTTTAAGAAACCCCTTTGAAAAATACTTGTCGAGCTTTTGATTCTGCATCTGTTGCTTTTCCCTGTGGCAACATCTGAACTAGCTTTCTCAAAAATTATTAGCACTAAAAACTGTTTAGTGCTCGGCTGAGTTGATACGTGTGGCATTATAACCTTATTTCTCTCTCTGCTGATCTCTGTAAAAGATGGCAAGAGTTTCCTTGCACATAAGATGTGTGATTATAAAGACAATACTGCAGGGTTAAGTGAGAAATTAAGATGGCTAACAGAAAGGGAAAAGTACCTTTATCAAGCAATCACAGAGGAATTAAAATTCACCACCTATATGAAATAATGATGGGCAGAAACGAACAGAAACTCGGTGAAGTCCGACTGAGGTGATAGTGAACAGGCTACAGGCTTTGTCCCCAGAAGCAAAGTCATGCCTCTGAGTTGGTTAAATTGAGTCAACACTGTAATGGAGTCAGAATACTATCAAGAACATGGTGTACGATGCTTGGTCACTACAGGTAGGTGACCTACCAGACTCTTGTTGTGGGCTCTTCTGAAGAGCCCAGGCCTGGTTGAGCAGCAGAGGCTGGTCCTTTGAAGCCAGAGGAGAACCTGCACATGCCAGATATGTAGTTTGGTGTATTGACAGCTTGCCTCTAGCGAATGATAGAACTGTCACAAATAGGCTTGGTTACTGTGAATCCATTTTAATATTAAAAGTGAATGTCATGGCTCTTAAGGAAAAGGTGGCATTATAAAATCAAACTACAGAGATGAGGTGTTACAGTGACAGAGCCTACGTGAAGGCTCAGACTTGGAGTCGAGTACCACCTCTTCACGAAAAGGCTCTTTGTCCAGAACACAGGTGGGGGTTCTTCTGAACCTCCCCCTTTTTTTGATACTGAGTTAAATGCCTATTAATCCTGCAATTTTTGAAAATTGCTCAACATTTGTCAAGTTCTTAACTATGTATGAGATGCTAGCTCACCTCATCTTTGCAACGACCAGAATGGAGGGCATGGTCCATGTCCCATTTCAAGGAAGAGACCTGATAATCAGAGAGGCTGATGAAGAGCAAGGGAGGTGCCAGCATTTCAACCCCAGCATCTCCGGCAGAGCCTGCACCCAGTTTGTGTCTCGCCTTTACATTTGAATTAGTAATAATTTAGTTTAGACCCACACCAAAGTTTCCTTTGTGCTGTTGTCAGACGTGATTTGGTAAGGAAATAATATTCAGGAGGTTGCAAGGTGTTTAGCATAAAAATGAAAACAAAGTCTTATTCTTTAACATTTCTAACCTTTGTTAAATAGTAATTAGGATACAGTAGTAAGTAGCAAATGATTTTTCACTTTCCAAATTTGTGCCTATTTTTAAAGGTCTGGTGAGACCTCTACTTCGCAACCCATTCTTAGCAATTCACATTGCAGATAAATGTACCCAGTTGTGGGGAAGAAGAAACTGTCCTCTATCCTTCTAGGGTTTTTCGGCTGGTCTAATAATTAAATCTACATGAGACAGGTTAACGAGAAAATAACCAAATTTAATTACATATGAGAACCCCACATACAGGAGCGGTTCAGAGACAGGCAGGGACAATGAGGGACGTGTGACATTCTGAGCTAAGGATGAGGTAAGGCACCTGGGGCTACAGAGGAGAGGAGGGTCATTGCAGGACGGTAAGAAGAGCAGATGTCAGTAATTAGTAGTTTGCCCTGCTCTATAGAGAGGTCAAAAGGGTTATCTGATAATTTTATTATGAGCAAGGTCCCTAATTCAATTCTTCTAGGTTGTTGGAGATGGGGGGAGGGCAAAGTTTCCCTTGGGGTCTCAGTTGCCTTTAGCTCAAAATAACCTACATACCACAGAGGCACATCTTGGGTGACTCTTTCTGAACCCCTGCCCAGTAATAAGAGGATTTCCTTAGGAATTGAGGACTTAAGGCATTTCAGTACTTCATACTCGTTCTCTGGACTAATAAGGACAGAACCAAACGGAAGATGGGTAAGACCTCTTCCATTTATTATAATAATAATAATAATAATAATAATAATAATAAACTGTTATTTTCAAATACTGCTTCTGTATGTACCTGCCAAGTTCTGCAGCCCTTTGGATGGTCTGAAAATTCCTGTGTTACAGTCTTTAGTTCCTGAAGTCCTTCAATTTTAATGATTCATCATCTACTTACACCATGAGACTTGTTTCCTCATATTTTTCGTGTTATTTAAATAAGATTGTTTATCCAAAAAGCTTTTGTGTACCTGTAATATGCTAAATATTGGCACCTCTGAAAAGACAGCTGGTAGTCCCTGCCCTTGAGGAGCGTTTTGCCTGGTGGAGAGCTTTTCACTGCGTTGTTCATAATAACTTTACACTTTTTCTTTCAGATACGCCCAGGCGATGGAGGGATTGCAGCATTACATCAACCCAGCACATGCCATCTCTCTCCTGAGTGCGCTCAACGAGGAGCGCCTCAAAGGACAGCTGTGCGATGTGCTTCTGATTGTTGGAGACCAGAAGTTTCGAGCTCATAAAAATGTCTTAGCTGCCAGCAGTGAATACTTTCATAGTTTGTTCACAGATAAGGCGAATGAGTCACAAACTGTATTTCAGCTTGACTTTTGTGAGCCAGATGCTTTTGACAACGTCCTGAACTACATTTATTCCTCATCTCTCTTTGTTGAGAAAGGCAGCCTCGCCGCTGTGCAGGAGCTGGGCTACAGCCTTGGGATATCTTTCCTGACTAACATTGTCTCTAAAACACCTCAAGCACCCTTCCCAATATGTCCCAACAGAAAAAGACTATTCGTAGAACATGATGAAAACAGTTCTCAAAAGAGAAGTGTCATTGTCTGTCAAAGCAGGAATGAAGCACAAGGGAAGACCGTGAGTCCAAGTCCCCCCGATCTAAGCCATACTTCCCGGCCCTCCCCGAGCATTGCAGTCAAGGCCAATACCAGTAAGCCACACGTTCCCAAACCAATTGAACCACTTCATGATTTGTCATCAACTGAAAAGAGTTGGCCAAAGGATGGTTCTGTGGGATACGCAAAGCCTCTTGAGCGTTCTGGATCTTTGGATGATACAAACAGAAGCGGTCTGGTGAAAAGGAATGCAGCCCTGCCTTCTGCACCTCCGCAGGACAGAGAGGCAGTGGATGACAGGCCCGGAGGAAGCAGTCAGCTGCCCAAAGGAAAAGCTATAGAGCTGGCTTTGAAAAGGCCACGGCCACCTGTTCTGGCTCTTCGAAGCTCATCAGAGACCCCCTATCTATTAAAAGAAACTAACAGAGGAAATGGCCCGGGCGAGGACAGGAACTTGTTGTACTATTCAAAGTTGGGCTTGGTGATCCCGTCCAGTGGGTCTGCGTCTGCAAACCAGAGCATCGACAGAAGTGGCCCGCTGGTTAAGAGCCTCCTGCGACGGTCACTGTCGATGGACAGCCAGGTTCCTGTTTACTCACCCTCAATAGATTTGAAATCTTCCCAGGGGTCACCTGCAGGGCCAAGCGACACACCAGGGAATGTGTTTTGTGCTATATCTCAAAAGTCATCTTCAAAAGAGGGTAGTGAGAAACCAGCCCCGGGTGATGGGGCTCCAGCCGCACCGCCACACCGCCTCAGGTCCTTCAGTGCTTCTCAGTCCATGGAGAGGGAAGGTGCCCCCCCTGTTGCCGAGGTTCGAATCAAAACAGAGCCCCGGAGCCCCCCGGCGGATCCCTCCGACATCATTCGGGTCACTGTGGGAGACGCCGCCGCGGCAGCGTCCAGCTCAAGAGACCTTACTCTGAAAACAGAAGATGACCAAAAAGACATGAGCAGACTCCCAGCAAAAAGGAGGTTCCAGGCGGACCGCAGGCTGCCGTTGAAGAAGCTAAAGGTGGACGCGCACGGCTCTCTGGTGGCGGAAGAGAATCTTGAGGAAAGCTCAGGCCCCCCTCTCGGCGCAGACTTTCCAGATTCTGACTTGAGCAGAGATGCATTTGGTGAGTCAGAGGGAACAAGACCAAACAGAAAGTTTAAGTGCAGACATTGCCTTAAGATCTTTAGGTCAACCGCAGGCCTTCACCGGCACGTTAACATGTACCACAACCCAGAAAAGCCCTACGCTTGCGACATCTGTCACAAGCGGTTTCACACAAACTTCAAGGTGTGGACCCACTGTCAGACCCAGCACGGCATAGTGAGGAACCCATCGCCGGCCTCCAGTTCACATGCCGTTCTGGACGAAAAGTTCCAAAGAAAGCTGATTGACATAGTGAGAGAGAGAGAGATTAAGAAGGCCCTGATCATTAAGTTGAGGCGCAGCAAGCCCGGTTTTCAGGGGCAGAGTAGTTCCCCAGCTCAAGTCATCAAGAGGAACTTGAGGTCGCGAGCCAAAGGCGTGTACATTTGTACTTACTGTGGAAAGGCCTATCGCTTTCTCTCTCAGTTCAAACAGCACATAAAGATGCACCCGGGAGAGAAGCCCCTTGGAGGACACAAGGTCGCTAAGCCGAAAGCGCCCGCTCTTGACGGTCCGGTAGAGAGCAAGGAGGTTTTCCAGTGCCGCCTCTGTAACGCTAAGCTCTCTTCTCTCCTAGAGCAAGGCAGCCATGAGCGACTGTGCCGAAATGCCACCGTGTGCCCCTACTGCAGCCTTAGGTTCTTTTCGCCTGAGCTCAAGCACGAGCACGAGAGCAAGTGTGAGTACAAGAAGCTGACGTGCCTCGAGTGCATGCGCACCTTCAAGTCCTCCTTCAGCATTTGGCGGCACCAGGTTGAAGTCCACAATCAGAACACCATGGCTCCAGCTGAAAACTTCTCCTTACCCCTCCTAGACCACAACGGAGAAGTCCCCAGCTCCTCCAGGCCCCAGGCCCAGCCTGAACCTCAGAAAGCAAACCACGTTGTCGCAGCAAAGGATGACAGCGCCTTCAGTGACTGCTCAGAGCAAGTCAACTTCGATTCAGAAGATTCCTCCTGTCTCCCCGAAGACCTCAGCCTTTCGAAGCAACTGAAGATCCAAGTCAAAGAGGAGCCTTTGGAGGAAGCTGAGGAAGTGGCGCCTGAGGCCAGCACGGCTCCCAAAGAGGCAGCTTCGAGCAAGGACCCGGGACTATGGCCCTGTGAGAAGTGTGGCAAGACCTTCACGGCGCCCAAGCAGCTGGAGCGGCACCAGGAGCTCTTGTGTTCCGTGAAACCCTTCATCTGTCACGTCTGCAACAAGGCTTTTCGCACCAATTTCCGGCTCTGGAGTCACTTCCAGTCCCATATGTCTCAGGCTACAGAGGACTCGGCACATAAAGAATCTGAAGCGTGCCCTGTTCCCACAAACTCTCCGTCACCGCCGCCTCTGCCCCCACCCCCACCACTGCCCAAGATCCAGCCCCTGGAGCCCAACAGTCCAACGGGTGTGTCTGAAAATGCAGCTCCGGCCACAGAGAAACTGTTTGTGCCCCAGGAATCAGACACACTTTTTTACCATGCCCCACCCCTTTCAGCAATCACATTTAAAAGACAGTTCATGTGTAAACTTTGCCATAGGACATTCAAGACCGCATTTAGTCTTTGGAGTCATGAACAAACCCACAATTGAAAGACCTCCCCTTTCACCTGTAACGAATGGGGGCGGTCTCCAGATTTCAGCCTAAGTTGTGAAATGCATCATAAGAAGCAAAATATTTTTTACAAAAGAATAATAAAGGTTGGAAATTGTTATACTTGAGTATAAGTTTGAGGTAAACTGATGTTAATTAGTAATGTCCTTACTCAACTTAGGAAAACTCTAAAAAATACTGTGTTTCTGGTCCTTGCAGTCACAGGACGACCTGACTTCATTGATGTTGAAATTGATTGGTCTTGGCTGTTTGCATGGTTCCTCATTCCACAGTATCGGTATAGTCTCCTACTTGGGGTGGTTTTGTTTGCTTACTGATTTGCAGTTAGTGAAGTACTAACTGATTTGCAGTTAAAGGATTTCTTCTTTTGATTATATCAGACACCTAAGTTCTAGTTAAGTCTCAGCCATGTTCTTAAGTCCAGAACTCATCAGGAAGGAGTGGAGTAGTTTGCAGTGTTGATTTAGGTCTTTAGAATACTCTAGCAATAAAAAAATGATAAACCTCAACTTTAACAAGTTAGATCCTGACACTTGATAAAAAATATTTGGCATTTCGTGGTCATGTAGAACTCTTGTATGAAAATTGTGAGAAATTTACATCAGCAATAGTAATACTTAGGTTTTTGTAAGAGAAAAACTTGCTCTTGGGTCATTTAATGTAATTATTGATGGAAAACCTGGGAGATGAAAATGTTGAGATTTCTGGGAGGCCTCTGAGGTCGTTTTACAGGCTTCAGCACTGACTGGCTCAGTACTCAGGCTTCTGCTGCGTTCTGTCCATGTCACAGTTCCAAGTTCAGCCCAGCATCGGAAGGACTTAAAGATTTGGTTTTCTCTGGCTTATGCTGCCACACATTGAAAAATCTGAGTGTATTTGGGACAAAGATAACATGGCACCGATTTTGAAATTAACAACATTAGTATAACAAATAAGGTCAGGACCTATATTCACAGAGTCAGCCCTGTGACTCTGAATCCCTGAATTCCCAATCACCACTTCCAGAGGCTCAAAGCAGAGGGAGAAACCCCACACTGCAGTCTGCACGTGCTTTTCAGAAACGATGTTGACAATATGCAGTTTCCTACCTCTTTGTCTTGTGATTGGTTCTGTTAGAGTTTGTTGGAGTTTGTCGTGGTAAAACATCCATAGTGAAACCATCCTGCTTTAGGCCACTGCTTAGCGTTTTCTAAGTAGGTGTTAAAGTACTATCAAGGGTCCAGAATTAGTTTTTCTTTCTTCTTTTGGCCCATGGGGTTTGGGCTTGTTTTTTTCTATTTTGTATAAGTTGTAATGAAAAGCCTTTCAGTAGGTGTTATCCAAAGTTCAAGAGGCTGTTTCAAAAGGAACAATTTTTATTTCATTTGTGTGGGGTGGTTAGACATAGGAAAGTAGGAAAATTGGGGGAAACACAAAATCCTTTTAAGGTAGTGATATGGGTTAAGACTCCCAAGTTTATTATTTTTTTTATAAGTTATTCTTTCAAATAAAAAATTAACTGCTGTGAGTAAGAAATACTGTACTGGGTACTTAAATTTGTCTCCAGCAGAAAAGAACTCCTCCTCCACCTCACTGCCCACATTCCAGAGTGAAGGTGGTGGGAAAGACCTTCTCTTTGTCTGAAATAAGCATTTTTGTAAAATACTAATTGACTTTGTACATTATAGAAATTGCATATGAATTTCTACCTTTTATTCTTTCATTTGAAAACTCAGAAGTCCCAAAATATTTGTGTAGTTACTTCCTGTTTCTGCTCTTACCTTAAACTTGATGGCAAAAGGAAAGTAAAATTAAGTTACAGTTAATGGTTATCAGCATCTTTATGTTTTCTTGAAGAAATCTATGCATTTTAAAGACCAAGCTAAAGCATACAATTTTATGTCAGACATTAGGATGTATTATTGTCCGTCGAGTTCGTTCCCTGTGCGATGTGGTGGTTCTTACTCTGAACACCTGGGTAGCTATCACTTCAGGAGACAGTTTCCCTCAGAGTGGTCATCGCTTTGGCTGGTTGAGTGTCTAACAATCCCGTGACACGGTATCTTGGCATTGTAAATTCAGCATCCAGGACTTGAACCTTTATGCCACTTTTGTGAGGTTTTTTAATAAAAGTTAATCAGTAAAAAATATTTTTGATCTAAATAGAGGCTCTGCAAATCTCTTAGGCTTTAAGAGTTGCCAGTGATTTGACTTGTTAGCCCACATTTTTGTCTAGGCAAGGAACATAAGATTTCAGATAAAATTTTGAACCAAAAACATTTATAATGCAGTTCTGGTTTTTCTATTACTTTTTATACTGTACCTTAAAAAAGCATTAGGCTGAAAGAGTTTATTTTGGTGGTCAAAATAAATTATGCTTCCACTTGTGTAACTATTTTAAACATTAAGAAGTAAAATAATGAGAGACAAGTTAATTGCTTTATTCAATAAGCAGGTTTCTAGGAATTTTCCTTGGTAGGCAAATACTTGGTATAAGACAGCTTGGTCTTTCATTGTTGCTGCTCTTTAGCAAATATATTCTTGAAAACGTTTTTTCTGATTGTAATTTGTTTTTGAAAATGTAGAAAGCTCATTATTCCTTATAAGAAAGTGTTCAGGTTGCCTGCTTTTTTATGCAGTTGTGGAAAGAATGTAAGATGTTTTAATATATTCTTTGTTGATCTGAGAACTTGTTACTGAGTCATTTTCTTCACGCTGGGAAGGTAGGGAACATCGTAAAATGCGTGTTTTTATCAAGGTAAGCAATGGAGGCAACAAATAGTGCACATTTTTTATAGTAATGTTTCAAGATGAGTAGAGTATTTCCCTTTAAAACTGGTTATGATTCGTATGCAATTATACTTTTATCAAAATATACACTTGATAAGTCAACTGTGATGTCATGTGCATCTGTGAGGAGATGTGCGTGGTCCTTGGCTCCTGATCTGGAACCGGTCGTAATAGCCTTCTCTTTAAAAATATGCTCCAGCAGTTACTGGGGATACTTTAATCCATACTCTGCACCCACTGGTGCTGAGAATACAACATGGCCTTCCATGGAGGCAGGGGGCATTTTCACCTGTGGGCCACCGGACGGGGTGAGGGGAGAGATTAATTCTGAAGTCAGCCCTGTTCCCTGTGCGTGTATGTGTGTGTGCGTGGATGTGCGTTCATGTGGGTGTGCGTGTACACATGCAACCATAATCTGAAACTCTAGGAAGTAAATTTGAATTTTCTTAAAACGTAATTAGATGTCATCCTTTACAGGTGTCTTTATAAATTGCACTAGTTAATATTGGAATATTACGAGTCCATTTCATCAGTTTCTGATGTCTCGATGTTTTTGCAATAATTGTGAAAAGCATTGATTTAAATAATGCTAACACATTCTTTACTAAGTTCTTTAACACTGGCCTTTTTAAGTTTTAGAGATGGATTTTTCTCTTGTGGCTCTAGCACTTTAAGAAGTTTGGTGTTTGCCTGGTTTTTGCCATGTTTGTTCAGTGCTCAGTGTTCTCGGCTCCGGGGTTTCCACCCAGCTGGGAGGGACCGGACAGGACAGGGCCAGCGGCGTGTGGGTCTAGAGGAGAAAGTGAGTGTCGGCTTTTCAGCAACTCCTCGGAGAGATGGTCACTCGGGAACCAAAGCATTTTCCTGTAAATCTGTAAAATAGTTGAACTCAGTGCTCTTTGTTCATCTATTAGTGCCGTCCAGGTTTTCCAGTCATACTTGGTTAACACTGATTTTCAAAAAGTGATAATTTCTTATTGACATTAATCCAAGACTTACTTCAAAACTTTCATTAAATAAATGCTTATTGTTGAAAGAAAAGCAAATGTGGTTTTAAAATTGTGTATATTTTGTTGTTATATCCTTTGCAGAATATTTTGTTGTTTGATTTTATTTAGGAATAAGCTTCTTTGGACAAATAGGATTTCTGTGGAATGTTAGCTCATTGCTTATTCATATCCAATTCTGTTGTCTGTTTACTTTGCTTAAATCTTGACTAAGAATGATGGGAGTCAATAAATTTGTACTGTATTTTGTTTTGAGTCTCAGTCTCACTGGTATGTTTTGGACTTTGATAACAATGATTAATAGCATTTAAATTTATGAAAGGGAAGAAAAACCCTTCTATTTGGCCAATATGAGTAGCCATCTACAAGCTGTAAGACTGTAATTTTCCCCAGCAGTTCCTGGTTGCTTGGAGAATCATTTGCACTAAAGCTTCACTTAATTTGGGCCCCACCAATATAACTAAAACCACATAAGCAGCACTCTGCCTTGCCACCTTTTTCTTTACTGTTCAAATTAGTATTTTTTAAAAATTGTGGGGTAAATACGTAAGAAGAACGTTTTCAAGCGCCCTGCATTGACATTTCAGCATAGCAGTTGACAAGCTAGTTTTCTTTCATAGTTTCAAGGCTTCCGGAAGTNTATTAGTGCCGTCCAGGTTTTCCAGTCATACTTGGTTAACACTGATTTTCAAAAAGTGATAATTTCTTATTGACATTAATCCAAGACTTACTTCAAAACTTTCATTAAATAAATGCTTATTGTTGAAAGAAAAGCAAATGTGGTTTTAAAATTGTGTATATTTTGTTGTTATATCCTTTGCAGAATATTTTGTTGTTTGATTTTATTTAGGAATAAGCTTCTTTGGACAAATAGGATTTCTGTGGAATGTTAGCTCATTGCTTATTCATATCCAATTCTGTTGTCTGTTTACTTTGCTTAAATCTTGACTAAGAATGATGGGAGTCAATAAATTTGTACTGTATTTTGTTTTGAGTCTCAGTCTCACTGGTATGTTTTGGACTTTGATAACAATGATTAATAGCATTTAAATTTATGAAAGGGAAGAAAAACCCTTCTATTTGGCCAATATGAGTAGCCATCTACAAGCTGTAAGACTGTAATTTTCCCCAGCAGTTCCTGGTTGCTTGGAGAATCATTTGCACTAAAGCTTCACTTAATTTGGGCCCCACCAATATAACTAAAACCACATAAGCAGCACTCTGCCTTGCCACCTTTTTCTTTACTGTTCAAATTAGTATTTTTTAAAAATTGTGGGGTAAATACGTAAGAAGAACGTTTTCAAGCGCCCTGCATTGACATTTCAGCATAGCAGTTGACAAGCTAGTTTTCTTTCATAGTTTCAAGGCTTCCGGAAGTGTTGTAGCATCTTCTTCCTTCTGATGTGGCTCCTCTGTAGCACCGGCATGTACTAACTTTACTTTGGTAGGTTAGTGTTCCCTGTGACGTGAGGAGCTGGGCTGTGGATTTCGGATCATCACCAACCTGGCTGTGGAAACGGAAGGAGGGAAGGAGACGGACTGGGATGGTCATTGCTGAGTCCCTCCACCCGGGCTTGCACTTGCCTCTTTGGATGGTTTCAGTTTCCTTGCCTGACACCCTAAACTAGTCTTTCTGGGGAACCCCTGGCTACAAGTTTCTTGAACACATCACACCGGGAATAAATGGCAGAATTCTATCTGAATCCCTTTTGGCCCTCCTGTTCAATTTTCACCAAATAACTTTGTTTTAAACACTTATAGCCGCCCTTTCTTAGTAACAACAAGCCTTCCGAGGTTTGGGATCATTGTGTTCCCGTCGAATCCTCCTTGGTCTTAGGCACACACTCATTTTCACCCAGCCGTTCCGGCTGAGACTCAGCTCTGTTAGTGTCAGCTCTTGTGAACAGTGGAGTTGAGAGGCAGGTATTCTTTGTACAAGGTTTACACCTGTGGTCATAGAAGCACTTGGAAAATAAAGCACAGTGCAGCCCTACTGTGCGTGAATTTGGGTGTCATGATCAGCCGTGGGACCCCATTCTTGGCAGCGGGGCCCTGTGGTTGGTGGTTGACCTCACGGTGATGCAAACCAGCGTTTTGCCCAGCTTGAGTGTCAGCGTGGTTGCATAATTTCTTCCAGGAGATACTTCCGGGCCCCTACTCATCCACTCCTCACCCCAGCCCAAAGTAGTGCCCCCCACGTGTTCCCAGAAAACCCTGGCATAGCCCAGGCACTCTGCTTTAACGACGTGCGGTCTGTCCAACAAGACTGGACGGGCCCACGGGCGGGGGCTGTGTCTCCTCTGTTTCCAGGGCCCGGGAAAGGGAAGGGGCCTAGTTAGTATTTGAAAAATACATACAGCAAGGAACTCTTGTCAACCAGCCTATTTTCAGCTGTTCTATTAGAAGAGAACTTGTTGAATGTCTCTGCATATATTCCCCAGACTTTGATCCAGCTCCTCAGAGACCCAGAGTGTGTTTTAGTTTTATGTGGTCCTCAGCTCCAGGAGGAATGGAAATGCCCAGGCGGCTGGTCTTAGATGGGCGTGTCCTTTGGATCATGAATGCCATGTGCTCGTTTTGGGTGTGTGCATGCCTTGTGAGTGTTGCTGGCACTGCCCAGGTGCCCATTAGGCCACCTCAGTGCGGCGAGTTGTCTGGAGAAACTCATCAGTAAGCCTAAGAATAGCAATAGCTAATGACTAGTTATCACCAGTTTCGTAGTCACAGCTCACAGTGAAGTGTTCACTGCCAGGGAAGCACTGTGCACGTGTGCTCAGTGTTTGTAAAGCAGCGACGGGCTGGTTTTCCTCCCATGTTGTTTTTCACTTTTCCCTCCCCACCCTTCCTCATTCCCAGCCCCGAAATCTCATCCCCTCAGGGAAATAAGATAGTCCAGGCTCATCTCACGAAATCCAAACTAAGTACCTATATCCCCTCCTCTACTCAGGCCTTGAAAAGCCTACGTTCCCTTCAATACCAGCCATTGTGAAAGAAGTTATGGTGGAGGGTACGTCGGAGTGGAAAGAGACAGACCTGTCCTTCAGGTTCAGCGTATGCTTGGTCACGTTTTTATAAAGCTGGCCATAGTAAGAGAAAGTGAGGGGTCCAGAGCCTAAGCTTCATTAGCCGCACAGTAAATCGACGTCGGTCACAATCCATGGTGTGCAATTTGTAATCCTGCAGTGGATCACAGCCTGCTGCTAAGCAACCTTTCCTTTGCCCAGGTCTTCAGACGGCCTGGTGGCAAGGGTGTGCTCTGAAGGAGAGGCGGCGTGGCTTCCGAGCAGCTGGCCAGAGGAGCCATCATTTTTGATTCTCAACGTTTTGGGTGACAACGATGATGTATAGTTAAAATGGCAGACACACTAACTAGACCTATTTCTCTCTCTCCTGATAAAGACATTGGGAAACCAGGATGAAGCCTTCATTTATACCGCTAGAAACAAATCCGGTGTGCAAGGAGGCAGAGATTTGGTTCTCATGGTCTCAGTGATGAAAACGTTTTCACGGCCATTCAAGTTGGGTCTCCCAGTTGCATTCATAGAGCTTATTAAGACCAGTTCCTGTTCACAAATCAAAGACCAAAGATTGAATAGTGTGTGCGTTTGACATTTTTATCTGATTTCTGAGTAAAAGGAAAGAACATAAGGTGGAAAATACCCTTTCATTACAAATAAAATAATTTACACCAAATGCTGTTGGGTCTCCGAGAAGGGCTGGGCTCTGCTTCCAGCCCCCGCACACCCATATTTTAGAAATATCTAGAAAACATTTCCTGATTTTTTGAATTTTTGTTTGTACTGAACAATTGGAAATGTAGCTATCACTAAGGAAAAATTTTATACAATCCAGGAGCTGAAGCTTTTCCCCAGGAAAACCTTTGTTGATTGGTCCAAAGAGTTAACAGCTGCAAGAGTTCCAGAGTTCAGGAACAGTCTTACAATGTATACAATTTGGGAAACTTTCTTCCTGGAAATAACTCTCTTTCCAATGTCAATGCTAGGACAAAGCACTAGAGACACACTACGTTTCCAATAAGTGGCATTTTTTAAATACCTGAAAGGCAGGGCTACATTGTAATTTTTGTGGGCCTGAGACTCTAGGGGGGACTTTCTTCCATAAAAATATATACATTAATTCTCTCTGACAACTGCACTGACATAAAGAAAAATACAACCCAGGCTGGATTAAAACAGAACATTTTCTTCCCCCTAAAATCACATTTTCTTTCTGATCTTTAAGGAAATTAAAATACTCTTGTGGTCCCTAAAAAAACCATTTTTGTGGTTTCCTGAAAGTACCATAGGCCCCGAACACCGTCCTTAAAGAGTAAGTCAGCCGGGTGAAAGGAAAGCAAGGCAGGAGCCATGCACCCCAGCCACGAGAAACAGGCCCAGGGAGAGACGGGAGCGTGGGCTCCCAAATCTCCGCCAGGAAAGCTGTTCAGTGGGTGACAACCTCCCAGCATTTGTGTTTGTTTTTTAGCCTGATAACTGAGATTAGGAATTCCATTGGGATTTTTAAAAATTCTTTAAAAATAAAGTACTTTCATTTCTGACACATGATGAATTAGTTGCTTCAGGGAGATTTCCTACTTTGGGAGCACTTGGGTTCTTCATTACACACATTTTATGATGAATTATCAGACCATAAGAAGTAGGGGGATTTTCTGAGCTCCCTCCCCGGCCCATTCCTAAGAAGCTAACAGAACTGGGGAGCTGGGGAGCTGGTTGCCTGAGGGCGGAGGCTCCTGGCCTCACTGTCTAGCAACAGTGAGCCTCAGGTTCGGGAGTCAAGCATGGCTTTCGCACCGAGCTGGGCCTCGGGGGGTGGCAGAAGAGTATTCCCCTTCGCCAGGCTGCTCTCCTAGAAAGCATGCACGGTTGGCCCTCGGCTGGTGTCTGGTCACCTGGACGTGGGGAGGGTTTTCCCTATGCCCTGCTGAGAGTGGCGCACTGTGCCCATGCTGTTTGTGCAGACAGCACGGTTTGTGCTGAGCATTGCTCTCCTGCGAGTCTGGGATTTTGAAGCTAGGCAGAAGGTGCCTTCCGGCTGTGTCATTGCAAAGGTGCACCCTCGTTCTCGACAGGTGCGGTGGCTTCCTGTAGGCCGGTGGCTTTCAAACCTGGCTCAACACTAAAATCAGCATGGCCCGGCCGGTGTGGCTCAGTGGTTGAGCGTCAGCCCAGAGGCCAAGAGGCCAAGGTTCGATTCCCGGTCAGGGCATGTGCCTGGGTTGCCGGCTTGATCTCCACTAGGGGGAGTGCAGGAGGCAGCTGATCTGTGATGTTTCTCATTGATGTTTCTATCTCTCTCTCTCTCTCAAAATCAATAAAACATATTTTTAAAAAAATTAAAATCACCACGGGAACTGTTAAGAAACACAGGTGCCACATTCATTATAGTCCGAAACTGGAAGCAACCCGATGGGCAATAGTAGGATAGAGTGGTGTGTCCCACCAGGGACGTCTGCCCAGCAGGGGGTGGGCCAACCACAGCACAGTCAACACCAGGAACCCACGGCCAACGAAAGACAGGGAAGGGAACAGACAGTCGGGCCCTGCTGACAGGGAGAGCAAAGCAGGCAGAACCCAGGCTGTGAGAAAACAGCATCTGGTTACCTTTGAGGGGTGAGGGGTAGTGACAGGAAGGGAGCCTGCAGGGCCCTGGGTGCTGGTCACGCTGATTCCTCACCTGGGTTACAGGGGAAAACTCGGAGCTGAACCCATGATGTGTGCACTTTTCCCCCTTATGTATGTTAAACTTCAGTGAACATCAAAAAGTAAACACAAAGTAAGCGATCCCGGGGCCCATCGCAGGCCAGTCAGAAGCCCCCGCGTGAGCCGGAGCAGGAGCTCTCTCTTCTGATGACTCCCCCAGATCCTCACGTGCACCCAGCTCCAGGACGGCTGCGTGAGAGCAGACCTCCCAGACTTTCACGCGGGCATCTTGTGAAAATGCGGGCCCTGCCTTCCCAGGACTGGGAGGGCCCAGG